CTCTCCTCCTTCCTCCCCTCCTTCCTGTCTCTTCCTCTCCTCCTCTCCTTTCCATTTCTTTCTCTCTTTCCCTTCTCTCTCTTTCTCTCCTCTTTTTTTTTAAATTCTTACTTGGGTTGGAGAATTTAATATATTTTTAAAGAATGTATTTTTATTCTCACAAAGTTTTGGCCTCTCTCTCTCACACCCCCCCCCCTTGTTTCCTCGTTTCTCTCCTCCCTCCTCCCCTCCTTCCTCTTTCTCTCCTTCTCCTCCTCTCCTTTCCATTTCTCTCTCTCTTTCCCTTCTCTCTCTCTTTCCCTTCTCTCTCTCTCTCCTCTTTTTATTTTTTAAAATTCTTACTTGGGTTGGAGAATTTAATATATTTTTAAAAGCTATCTCTTTTTTATTCTCTTGTAAAGTGAGTTATTCTGCTTCTGTTTTATGTGAAGGCATGCATTCTTAGTTTTCCTTGAAATCAATGTAATATTGACTTTATTGTTTCAAACATCTTGGCGATTACTTCATTATCTCCTCACCAAAGAACCTTTAATGTTGCCTTTGAAATTATAGAACTGTGTGATTTTTTTTATTAGATACAACTTTCTATGTTAACAAAAGGAATTGTGTAATTAAAATTGGGATGTGGCCATTTTGTATATAATAAGATATTTACAGTTCATATCTTTAGTGCAAGGATACCAGTTATAAATGCGAAATAGTGATGGTTTTTCAAATAAGCTTTGAAATACAGGGATTGGGAAAGTTCTATAGGAACAGATATTGTATAGCTTTTTGGACAATATGGCTTGCCATAGCTATGTGTTTGTGAAGTTATTTTTTACTATTTTAAGATTACAGTTCTTAATAATGTAGAGAAAACTATTTAAATTTTGAAATAATGAGACAAAGTTAAATTTAATAGTAAACCAAATTGCAGGCCTGGTTTCACAGCCGATTTTAGCCAATAAATTTTCTATATATGCTAACTATATGGACATTTTAAGTGCATTCCTAACATTTGTGGCTGTTAGTCATATGCCTATCTTGAATTCACAAGATTGGCTTGTAATAATTATTTTTAAGGATTAACATTTGATAATTTTTCAATAATCAGTTATCTTTTCCATGGTTTCATTACTGCCCAGTCAAATATACTATTTCTCAAAGTTATTTTAAATAAATTACATATTAATTGTATAGTATTGGTTATGATAAAGGAAATCAAGTAGTTTTTAAAAATTAGTATGAGGTTGTTAATCATGTGTGTGATATGAGAATTTATTTATGGGATTTTGTTTTCTTATTTAGAGAAATGAGTCTCTTTAGAATCCTGTTCTATATTTTTTAGAATTTTCGAGTTTGATTTGTAGAGATAATCATCCATTGTTATTATTTTCTATTCTGAAGACTGTGATGCTATGGGATATTGTTAAGTTGCATAATTTCTCTGTGTCTTTTTTTTTTCATCGTAACATGGAGAATAATAATAGAACTTCTTTCTTAGAGTGTAAGACATTTGAATAAAAAAATGGGTTTTAAGCATGAAAGTCATACACCTAAAAGACACTCCTAATAATACGAAATGATTGGAACTAAGTCACATGTACAACCTATTTCATATTAACCCTTTGAGTGCCAACCAATATCCTAGGAACTATGCTAAAATTGCCAAGGCATTTTTGCTGATTTTACAGCAGTTTAGGAAAAAAATTATGACTCGCAAGTAAATGAAGTTACATATTCAAAAACTTAAGGTAACTTTTACTACCTTGACATATTTAGCAATATCATCATCACTAATAAAAGCAGACTTAGAACTGGACGCCATCTCGAAGCTTTGATAGCGCCCCCGGCACTTTTGGCGAAAGACAGGAGGAGCGCGATCCGAGCTCCCCGACACCCTAGGGGTTAACAAAAAATCAACTAGGAAAATAAGATAATGGGAAGGTTTTTGGTCATGGTTTTGTTTTGTTTTTCACTTTAGAATGTTTGTCAGTTGAGTATGTCTCTCTTCATAACGCTCGCTTGGTAACTGGGTGTCGTATGTTCAATAGTTCAGAACATATATTGCAAAGATTGCCGAAGCATCGGCAAAGGATTGTTTAGCCTCAAATACTATGAAACTAATAAGATGGAGGGAAGCACCTCCCCTTAATGGGCACTGATGCCAAAGCCCTATGAGTGTGTGTGCTGAGGCTCCTCCTGTCCAGCCCTGCGAGCCCGGCCTCGCTGCTCTCCCAGCTGCCCTGCCAGAGAGAGGGTGCCTCGGAGGCAGCACTGACCTGCCTGGGAGGTCAGTCTCTGGCCGCCCCCCTGTGAGTGCAGAGTCTCCGGAGAGAGTGCCTGATGCAAACCCCCGCCCCCCTTCCCAGCTGAGGGATTTCAGAAGCCCCTCCACCTTGGAGTTAGTTCCCTCCCTGTGTGACCTGTTTAAGGGAGTTGGAGGAGGCCACTGGGTACTCTCGTTCTCAGGGTTTGAAGAGTCGGCACAGAGTTCCCGCTCCGTGTGCCTGAGCTGCTGCTAGTTTGGTGAGAAGAGGGCGCTGTGCTGGGAGTAGCCATCGCTCCAGTCTCCTCTTTGCTTCACAGCTGACACCGGGCCCGATGCTGCTTCTTTCCCAGAAGCTTGACCTGTCATGGCCTTGGGAGCTCCATGGCTTGACAGGTTCCAGGTATTCAGGGAGCTCTGTCTTATCCACAACTCACCATCCTGTGGTTGTGGTAAATCTTGAGACTTAAAGGAAAAGCAGATAAAATTACTAATCAACCATAGATTGCCTCCGGAGGCAAAGAGCATTCAAATCCTTAGAGCAGCGGTTCTCAACCTGTGGGTCGCGACCCCTTTGGCGGTCGAACGAGCCTTTCACAGGGGTCGCCTAAGACCATCCTGCATATCAGATATTTACATGACGATTCATAACAGTAGCAACATTACAGTTATGAAGTAGCAACGAAAATAATTGTATGGTCGGGTCACCACATGAGGAACTGTATTTAAAGGGCCAGAAGGTTGAGAACCGCTGCATTAGAGGCTTTCCCTGAGAAATGGACGGTGCTGTTTAAGCAGGAAAAAAAGCGATAGGGATTTGCTGGTAGTTCAGTGCAGCCTGTGTTTGGATCTCCCTGTAACCGCTTTATTTTTTTCTTTTTCTTCTTGTTTTTGATCTGACTTTGACAACAGGGTTTCCTTCCGTCTCCATCTCCAGCCTTTTCCTGGGCTCTGCATTGAACTCTTGGCACCGGATGTTGCCTTGGTCAACCCTTAGGCAGGTGACATCCTGAGAACAAAACACTTTCCCCCCCATGTGGCTAGAGCATGGCATTTCCAACCTCCTGGAGTAAATGAAGCTCCGAGGGGTTACCTGATACCCACTTAGACCTCGGTCCTGCGAGACCCGAGATCCTGCCAGGACTTTACACTTACTGTGCAGAAAGACAAACATCTACCACACCAGATTTCCCTGCGTTTTCTACAGAGTGTCTTCCTAATTACTTCGGCTTGAAGCAGCGTCCTGTTCTTTCTCTCTCTGCATAGCACAGTCTGTTTGTTGCCCCAAACCGCCCAACTTTCTGAGAATTTTAAACACAATTTCTCAGTTTAAATTTATTTATTTATTGCTTGAATCTATTTCACCATTGTCCTCAACGTTCTTTCCCTTCTCCTTAGTAATCCCTCGGCAAAACCCTGTCCGTGGATACACCTGTTTCATGACTGTTACTTGGTTCTGGTTCAAGAGGAAAACATTTAACCACGCTGCCTCTCAGTCCTGAGGCATAATATATTTCGGCCTCCATCCTATGTCACTACCCTGTTACCTAAGTTAAGGGTTTTTCCATCAGTGAGACACAGCCATTGGTTGAGACACAGCCAATTAATTTGAGGGGTGACAATCTACATTATTAATGAAGACAAACAGTGAGAGTATATTACACATAGGGATAGTAAGTATTGTTCGTGAAACTTCTGTTCCAGATTAAATGCATAAATGTGTACCAGTCCACAACATTAAAAAATGTGTCTTGCTCTGGCCAATGTGGCTCAGTTGGTTGGCATCATCCCAGGCACCAAGGGGTTGCCAGTTAGATACCCTGTCAGGGCACATGTCCAGGTTCGGGCTTGATCCATGGTAGGGGGCATGCAGGAGGCAGCCGATTGATATTTCTCTCTTAAATTGATGTTTCTCTAGCCCTCTCCCTTCCTCTCTCTCTAAAATCAATAAAAAAATCTTTAAAAATATTTCTTATTGGAAATTTGAGTCAGTAATTCAAAACACCAATATAGTCATTTTTAAATTTTATACCTGCTCTCTGCTCAGATCTCTAATCCACCTTCTTCACTTAGCAGATAACTTTGCATCTGATTTCAGTGACAAACTGAAGCTGAAAAGAACTTTTATCTTTCCACCACCCACTGCAACAGACTACCAACAACTATACCATATACTTTGGCCTCCATCCTTTATAACGGGTGAACTTTCTCTGCTCCTACTCAAGGCAGCCTCTCCATTAATACACTGGGTCCCATGACCTTTTTCTTCCTCAAGATCTTTGTCCATGAAATTAAACTTCTGTCTCTGACATCATTAATTATACACTCTTGCCTAGATCATTCCCAATAATAAATAAATAGCAATGCTTTATAGAAATAATAGTTAACATGGACATAATAGTTATCATGTGCCATATCCTGTGATAAAAACTGTACATATGTTAATTCTTTTTATCCTTACTCAAATTAGAAACTATCGTTCCCATTTTATGGATGAGGAAACTGAGGCACAGTATGTTAAGCTGAGGGTGGCAGTACTAGAGTATAATAGAATCAGTATTTGAACTATGTAGCTGATGCCAGAATTTATGTTCTTAACCACTATGCAGTTTGCTTCTCTCATGTGAATAAAACTTGTTGACTTCAAGATGTTCTTCAACT